GAAATGTCAGTGCAAAAAGGAACATTGTTATACGCGTCGTATAACTCCATCTTTGACACATTCAAACCCAGGATCTTTCACTCAATGCTTCTTGATTCCGGAAGCAAAATTCCAACCGTCAAATAACGCTCTTTTCTCGCTCTCTTGATACAGCGAAGGAGAAAAAGTTCAGTCAATCAGAAAACGTCGGGTATCTTCGCATTTTGTGATACATAACCCTCGTTGTGTCACTTATTGTTGTTGGCCGTCAGAGCGACACCACATCTGACATGTAACAGCACTTCTGATTGATTGGAACTGTTGATTGTTTCGTTTGGATCTAAACACTGGAGTAAAGATGTTTGTCGTGGGGGCTGTTGTGGGCAGCGTCGCCGACAGGCCAGGAACGGTGCCCTGTAAAGTTTTAGTCAAAACCGCCATTCAAACGCTAATCGATTACCGCAATCATAGTTTCTCAACACTGGCCGTGTTGGCCGTGTGTTAGACAGATGCATTTCTGGAATCACGTTTTAGAACTCGTTTGTAATTGTGAAATCACTCGAATCCGTTGGTTCCGGAAGTAGTTTGAGAGAACCCACGAGATGCGAGTTGATTCTACTTCCGGAATCAAAGATTCGGGGGATTTCTCGGAATTAAAACATGTTACGGTTGATATATAATTTCTGTATAATTTTTACATAATGACCTATGGCTGCGTCACTCTTACGTTTTAGTGCACTTTCAGAAAAGCCAGTAAATTCCTGGCTCAGAATCAACTGTTACAATAGCGTGACGTCATCATAATGGTTCAATAGTTGAAAATGTGCATTTAAGTATGATGATAACGTTAATTTTTTATGTAAAATATGCGGGTTGAATGCGGGGAGTTTTTTTTATGAGTATCGCAATACCCGTTGACAGCCCTTTTCAGAGACCATACATACCCAGCAAGCACTGATGTCACACAATCCGTAGTACAGAGGTCCCAACTGAGAAAGGCTTGATTGAAGTTATATAAGTTAGAATCATATGCTGGACATCAAAATGGGCTTCAGCGTTTGTCCATTTTGGAGAAAGGAGAGGTGTCCCGGTGACAGCTGAAGTAATAATGGTGTGGCGGTTGAATCAATTTAAAAGTGTATGTAGTAGTAGTAGTAGTAGCAGTAGTAGTAGTAGTAGTAGCAGCAGTAGTAGTAGTAGTAGCAGCAGCAGTAGTAGTAGAAGAAGTAGTAGTAGTAGTAGTAGTAGTAGCAGCAGCAGTAGTAGTAGTAGCAGTAGTAGTAGATGTAGCAGCTGCAGTAGTAGCAGTAGTAGTAGCAGCAGCAGGAGTAGTAGTAAGTAGTAGCAGTAGTATTAGCAGTAGTAGCAGCAGTAGTAGTAGTAGTAGTAGTAGTAGCAGCAGTAGTAGTAAGAAGTAGTAGTAGTAGCAGCAGCAGTAGTAGTAGTAGCAGCAGTAGCAATAATAGCAGCAGTACTAGTAGTAGCAGCAGCAGTAGTAGTTGTAGCAGCAGTGGCAGTGGTAGCAGTAGTAGTAACAGCAGCAGTAGTAGTAGTTGTAGTAATAGTAGCAGCAGCAATAGTAGTTGTAGCAGCAGCAGCAGTAGTAGTAGTTGTAGTAATAGTAGCAGCAGCAATAGTAGTAGTAGCAGCAGCAGGAGTAGTAGTGGTGGTAGTAGTAGTAGTTGTTATCGTTCGTCGTAAACGCTTAAATGTTGACACTCGTAGTTTATACGCCCATCACCCATGTAACGTTTTACAATAGCGTTAGCCAATGTGGTTGTTTGATGGTTAACGCCGCGCTCAGCAATATTCCAGCTATATGATGGCTGTCTGTAAATAATCAAGTCTGAATCAGACAATCTAGTGACTGACATCATGATAACCGATTTACGCAATTGGGATACGATGACATACATCCCCCAGACCCGACTACCCGATCCCGTTAGTCGCCTGTTACGGTAAGTCAATGAGATCGGGCTTGGGCGTTATGAGGTTTGACGTTGCGTTCAAGAATATTTCACTTACCTGGAGCGCATGCGTGCATTTGTGTGTGTCCACACAAAGTAGTAATCCAGACTTAGCCCCTTTATATAGTACTAGGCCACTGAGATACAATGCTGCAGTTTAACATGGATACACCACTCAGACACAGGATGCTGACTCCGAGCCGACCAGTTCTTGTTTTACTCCCTTAATGCCGAGCACAAGCAGAATAACAATAATTACACCCAGCTGTTAATATCTGTGAATCACATGTCTTTCTGTAGAATTTGCACGTACCCAGGTATTCATGCGCACGTGCATAGGTGTTCAAACAGATTTTAAAAGTTTATTCTTCTCTGCTTGTGTGTAAAATAGTTACTAATGTTAACCCTAAGGTTAAAGCAACGCGATGTTGCTGTGTACCACGATGTAGCTGTGATGTTGATGGCTACCACGATGTAGCTGTGATGGTGCTGTCTACCACGATGTAGCAGTGATGTTGCTATCTACCACGATATAGATGTGATGTTGCTGTCTACCACAATGTAGCTGTGATGTTGCTGACTACCACGATGTAGCTGTGATACTGCTGAATGCCACGATGTAGCTCTGATTATACTGACTACCACGATGACTACCACGATGTAGCTTCTAATTATACTGACCACCACGATGTAGCTGTGATGTTGCTGACCACCACGATGTAGCTTCTGATTATACTGTCTACCACGATGTAGCTGTGATATTGCTGACCACCACGATGTAGCTTCTGATTATACTGTCTACCACGATGTAGCTGTGATGTTGCTGACCACCACGATGTAGCTTCTGATTATACTGTCTACCACGATGTAGCTGTAATGTTGCTGACTACCTCGATGTAGCTGTGATGTTGCTGACTACCTCGATGTTGCTATGATGTTGCTGATGATGTATCTGTGATGTTGCGGACTACCACGATGTAGCTCTGATTATACCGACTACCACGATGTAGCTGTGATGTTGCTGACTACCACGATGTAGCTTCTAATTATACTGACCACCACGATGTAGCTGTGATGTTGCTGACCACCACGATGTAGCTTCTGATTATACTGTCTACCACGATGTAGCTGTGATGTTGCTGACCACCACGATGTAGCTTCTGATTATACTGTCTACCACGATGTAGCTGTAATGTTGCTGACTACCTCGATGTAGCTGTGATGTTGCTGACTACCTCGATGCTGCTATGATGTTGCTGATGATGTATCTGTGATGTTGCGGACTACCACGATGTAGCTCTGATTATACCGACTACCACGATGTAGCTGTGATGTTGCCGACTACCACGATGTAGCTCTGATTATACTGGCTTCCCCGATGTGGCTGTGATGTTGCTGATGATGTAGCTGTAATGTTGCTGACTATCACGATGTAGCTATGATGTTGCTGATGATGTAGCTGTAATGTTGCTGACTACCACGATGTAGCTATGATGTTGCTGATGATGTAGCTGTAATGTTGCTGACTATCACGATGTAGCTATGATGTTGCTGATGATGTAGCTGTAATGTTGCTGACTATCACGATGTAGCTATGATGTTGCTGATGATGTAGCTGTTATGTTGCTGACTATCACGATGTAGCTATGGTGTTGCTGATGATGTAGCTGTAATGTTGCTGACTATCACGATGTAGCTATGATGTTGCTGATGATGTAGCTGTAATGTTGCTGACTATCACGATGTAGCTATGGTGTTGCTGATGATGTAGCTGTAATGTTGCTGACTATCACGATGTAGCTATGATGTTGCTGATGATGTAGCTGTAATGTTGCTGACTATCACGATGTAGCTATGATGTTGCTGATGATGTATCTGTGATGTTGCTGACTACCACGATGTAGCTCTGATTATACCGACTACCACGATGTAGCTGTGATGTTGCTGACTACCACGATGTAGCTATGATGTATCTGTGATGTTGCTGATTGCCACGAGCTGTGCTTGCTTTGAAAGGGCTTTGTCATTTTTATTACACAGTAATATTTGTGAAAACATGCAGATTGAAAGTGTTGGTTCTCAATGGATCTTTTTCGAAAGGTTTAAATACTGTCTTTCATCGTCAGGCAAAGAATGTAAATGTCCACTTTATCGCTTATCAAAACTCTAAATTTATAGCTGGAATTTGAAAACTCTAATGTCTCTCTTGTATCTGAAACAGCAACTGAAGTAGCAAAGACATTTCATTGATTTCGCTTAAAGTTCAACCGACTTTAGTCAAAATGAGAAATGTTGTCAACCAAGTTCAGCAATGCCAGTGGACGCCAGGTAGTCATGCAGCCTCTGTCTGGTGACAATTAATTTCAGTATTAGATTAACACGAGCGGGGGAATCCATACGAATGACGTGCGTTTATTAAGGAATGCGTGGGAAGGGAATCTTCAAAGGTTATGTGTCGCCGGGCGCACGACTGATGGCATCTTTGTAAAGATGGGTAAATAATCAGGCAAATTATGATAGAGCATAGTGATAAAACTTAACACAACGTTCCAACTATGGTTGTATGCGATGTGTTGTTTGGTGCTGATATTCGAGATTCGATACAGAATGTGAGATTAACGAATCAATGTTATTATTAAACCAAATTCGAGGCATGTTCAGATATGTTCCCTTGCTACGGGGCCACATGAAGGACTCTACCTGTCGGTTATCCCGGCTGCAGAAGGATTAATAGCCTGGATACAGTAATGAAAACAATCATGTATTATTGATGAAAATACCAAATAAGTGGACTTAGCAAAAACACACATGATGATCACCTAAGAGAAAGGTCATGGTGCTTACAAACCACCCTTATGGGTGCTTAAAACATTTTATTACCTTTAGTATTTTTTTTAGATTGAGCTTGGTCATACTAGTTACAACGTCTAAACCTAAAAGGGGCACCACACCGTGGAATATAGTCCCTTTTCAATGATGAGGCCACGCATAATCATCATTCATTATGCATATCGCCCTATGACGACCATTCTAATCTAGCCTTTTTGTTTTCAGATCGGCCATGCCCCGCCTGTATGTGTTCCTGGCTGTCCTAGTCTATACATGTGTGTCCGTGAATCGTATATCGGCGGAGGAATTGAAAAGCAAGTCAAAAACAGAAGAGAACTATTTCTCTCCAGGAGAACTAAAATGGCCGACCGGGAACGGGGTATATGAAGACGAGATACAAGCTTTGGACGAGGATGGCAAAGGAAATGTAGGACGTATTGCCGAAAGGGAGAACCGGTCTTCTGGGACCTCTCTGTGGACAAAGATCCTCAACAGAATAGGAAAAACACAGGAAACATTCGGCTCTTCCGGTCAGTATCCGAACTTGCCTGGCAAGGCAAAGAACGAAAGGCGGTATATAGCTCCCCAAAGTGTCTGGGCAAAGCTCAAGCGGAATCAACCCGGGATGCCTTCATTTGACGCAGAGCGAGCAATGAATGACGGGAAATTTATAACACAGAACAAGAAACGAGGCCTGTCTATAAATGGCGCATTATCTTCCTTGGCGAATATGCTTTCGGCGGAGGGTCAACGCAGAGACCACGCCGCGGCGCTTCGACTTCGACAACGCCTTCTAGTGGCAGGAAAACGTTGATCAAAGAGACGCAATTCATGGATTCAAATTTGTTCGGTCTTAAAAGACTTCTAGTGACAATCTAACACTTCCCAACGAAATATCGTGCTTAAGGGCAACAGAGTGTAAACATGTACAGGTTGGAATATGACTTTCAAATATTTTTGAAATGATGACAGTGAACTTACGGTTCAGTTGCAAGGAATAAGTCAACAACATTTTTAATATGGATGGTTTTGAATTCAATTTTATTGTGATAATGATAACCTCAAGTAAAGGATTGTTCGACATATTTTCACGAGGTCGGATCTGACAACATACGTGAACACTATTGTTTGTGTTATAAACAGAGACGATTCTGTTCCGTATTGCAGCCGCTCAAACAGAGCATGAAAAATAGATGGTCCACATTTTATTACTGACAAATACATTGGCATTAGTTCTTGTAATGCAAAGTTGTTCTAGCCTGTGTTTTTTTATTTGCAGAAATTTAGACAGATACAAAGCTCATATCTTATAATAATTATTGTGCTTTTCTACCAAGCCATATGCCCAAATGCCCTTCGCTTGTGTTGCTAGTAAACTTTGACAGTAAAAGTTAAACCGATAATGTTTTCAAAAATACAGATTACCATTTTTAATAAGTGAATGTTTCATCAACCTTAACAGGCCGTTGGAGGTGTTATTAGACCTAGTTTAACAAGACGACGACTTACAATCTGCTCCCTGTTCGACACCTTGCCCTTGCGCATCTTCACCACTCTGTTTATGCAGCAACAGAATTCATTTGGTTCTGTTTGCAATCGTCCCATTGAGATTCATACCGTTTACAAAGAACAAACTCTGCGCTAAATCCCCCGACCCCAATTCCGTTTCCGTTAACGTTATTCCGTAACGATTGTGAATTCAACCAATTAAACTGCTGTGGAACGCTGAAGTACTTCACGACAAACGGAGATTTTACGTTAATGGGGTGTTGTTAATATCTGCTGGGATTGTAAATCGCCATATTCCATAAGCTGTACAAATTTATACCAATGATAATGTTGGCGATATTGGAAACTGCCTTGATTCTTTGACTACAATATGTTAACACTCGAAGCTCTTCACGTACGGTATTATTTTGTTTATTTGAGACATATCAAAACATGAGGCAACCAAACCGCTATGATATTGGAATTGTTATATCACACAGCGTGAATGACTGTTTGTTTGGTTCAGAACTATATGGGCAGGATCCAAGGACAACCATTTCTCACGGAGGAAACTAAAGCGTGTTATGACAGAACTGAGGGTTTAACGTCCTTAGGGACAGCCTTTAAACAATCGTTGCTAGGGGCTTAAGTTTACCGGAATTTCGAGGCATGAATTCTTGCTCTATATTTGATAAACATTTAAGATATATTCCAATCAGTTTAACAAGTACCCGTGGGGGGTACTTGATAATGATTCACACACGATACATAGCTATGATTCAATTACAACAGATTAATTCAACACATGAATTAAGGCGGGCGTCGCACTATCTGCACTGGCTTGCTCAATATATATAAACATGTTCACGAACAGATTCTTTATGTAGTATAACTAAAAATAACGAATGTTGTATTCTTCCTAATATATTTTGTTGTGGAATAAAGTGATTGTTGCCAGTTATATATTTGTTTTCTTCCGCGTGAAGTATCACAGCGATATACATGTATCATCAAATGTACCTCTTAACATAGAAACCGCCGGGCAGAAGAAAGTATATACTTGAAAATTTGATTTGATCAAACATTACAAACATCATCATAATGTTACTAGGCTAAATACAGTCGCTGAAACATTGCAAACTTAATGTCCAAAACACAACTATGATACTCGTTTCAAATACATCACTATCAAATAACCAAATGTCCACTTGGCTTTGAACCAGGTGAGTTAGAAATCAACCCACATATTTATGTATTTACATCTACCAGGGCGCATTTGCGCAAAGCGATCTTAGCGCTAAGATGATTGTAACACCCATACTATAACATAGACATACAATAGTCGTAGCACTAAGATGGCTTTGTGCAAGTGGACCTTGATGTGGAATGAAAGTAACACACGCGAATATGAACTGTGCTTCACCAAGGGTCAGAAATGACTGTTTTGAAAGAAACGATTATCACTGGATATAAAAAGGACAAAATAGCACTTAGCGGCAGATAACTCTGTTATTGCCTCTGATGCACTGATGCACTGATGCACTGATGCACGGAGGATGGGATGTTCCACGCATCAGCCAGTAACATTCTAGCTATATCATGTATATTCTTGAAAATCATGAAATTTACCCAGGATAGCTAGTGGTTGATAGCGTGAGCAGAGGTTGGCGCTGTCGGGGAAGATCGCACAATGCAACCACCACATTATATTACTCTCAAGACAAGCAGACAGACCGGGGAACTCTTCTGGTCTCGAGCCCCTACAGGAGTTAGAACCAAGGAGGATGGGATATTCTCTGAACGTACAAATATCCGTCAAAGGCTGGGAAGGAACGTTAAATCAAATCTTATACGTTGAAGTGATTTACATTTGAAATGCTTTACAAAACTTTTGTATGTTCAGTCCCGCCAGACGCCCCATCCACTAGGCCATGGAGGCGGTCCTTGAACATGGATGCCTGATCACCCGGTATAGAACACATGGATATCTGAACGTCCAAATATCCGTCATAGGACGGGAAATCACAAACTAGATGCTTTTGTGAGACTGGTATGTCCAATTCCATCCTCGATTATGTCCTGTATATCTTGCTGCTGTCACGTGAATCCGATTTGAATGACACGGGGCTAAAAATAGCTGTCCAATCAAATTATACCTACGAGCAAGAGACGTTCTGTGCAAAGTTACTCCTTAGAGAGGAGATTGTGACGTCAATTCACAAACAAAGTTATGTAAGCGACAGGCCCAGGGTGCTTCAAACCTATAACTATGCCTTTAGGAGGTCATATTTTACTTAAAAAGATGTCGTTATTACTTTTTCTTCCTTAATGTGGTTTATCTAATAAAACGGCCTCTGTTGGGTGAGCGAATATTCCTCGCCATCGGGGTTTGGGAACACGTGATCAGTCGGCATACTTTTAACTTTTAGGGGCTGACCATTTGTTAATTCTCTCTCTTTCTTTTGAAAAAAATAATGTTTCCAAAAAATCCTGAAAAAAATGTTTCCAGGCATTTCGCATTATAATAAACAGTTCGCATGGCCTGTTGGATGTGTTGCAAAAATAATGTAAACTACCGGGCAAAAGAAAGTTTTCACTTTAAAAATAGTTGTATAAAAAGCAAAAAAGCTGGTACAGGTTTGAACCCCCGCAGAAAACATTCGCCCAAATGCAACATGACCACAACCACAACGCAGATTTTCGAACGCAGCTTTCCAAATCATGCATTGTTGAAAACGTGCAAAACGTGATTTTGAGACATTGGTCCAAATGCACGTGTGATTGTGGCATAAATACCGACGTTGGACAGAGCAGGCATTCAGTAAGCAAAAAAACACCAAGAATATGCCCAGACTTACACAAGCGCAAAGAGACAGAGCGATCGGTATGGCAAATATGGGGGCTACTAAACGTCAGATGGCCAGAACCTTCAACTGCTCCCAGACCACCATGAGCAAGTTGATAATCCGCTACCAACAGACAGGACAGACTCAAGACCGGCCAAGATCGGGAAGACCGAGAGTGACAACACCGGCCGAAGACCGCTACATCCGGCAGATTCACCTCCGAAACAGATGTGTGACGGCGACGTCAACGGCGGCAACAGCACTAGGGCATGCCATCAGCAGACGAACAGTCCTTCGACGACTTCGTACGGCTGGTATACGAGCCTACCGACCCTTCCGTTGAATGGCCTTGACCCGTCTACACCGTCAACGCAGACTGCAATGGGCACGAACTGTACGTCGGTGGCAGCGACGTGACTGGGCGAGAGTGCTCTTTACAGATGAAAGTCGGTTCTGTCTGTTCAGGAACGATGGCAGAGTTCGAGTTTTTCGACGAAGGGGAGAGCGACTAGCGCCAAACAGCATTAGAGAAGTTCACCCGTTTGGAGGTGGAGGCGTCATGGTATGGGGTGGCATTTGTGGCCAGCTTACAACACGGCTGGTTATCACCCGAGGAACCCTGAATGCTCAGCGATACAGGGATGAAGTGTTGAGACCTGTTGTGGTGCCCTTTATTCAACATCAGCCAAGAGGATTAATTTTGCAACAAGACAACGAAAGGCCTCACACCGCCCGAATTGTTCAAGACTACCTGAACAACGTTAACGTCAACGTATTGCCCTGGCCACATTGTTCTCCAGACTTTAACCCCATTGAACATTTCTGGGATCATCTTGATCGTCAGCTGAGACAACATGTACCGCCTCCAGCGAACCGACAGGAACTTGAACAGGCTCTATTGAACTTATGGAACAGGATTCCTGTTGACGTTATCCGCCGACTGACGACGTCAATTAGGAGGCGTGTGTTGGCGTGCATGGATGCCCAGGGTGGTCACAATCGCTATTGATGACGTGTTACCTGACTACTGGGTCATTAATGGACCCTTCATGCACTTTTTCAATGAACTCTGATTTGTGTCATTTTTAATTTGGACCCCTTGACTCTTTCTTTGTGTATTGCGGAGAATGCAATATCGGCATTACAATGCATTTTCATTCTAATTCATGGAAAATGATTTCTGTTTATAAATTTATCATCATAAATCTCACATATGCCTTTGTTTTTGGTGTTTGGTCAAGTGAAGTCGGTGGAAACTTTCTTTTTCCCGGTAGTTTAGTCTTGAGACAAAACTTTCGTTCAAAAAGAATATGTTTTGAATCGCTGAATGAAAGAATAGTCTGTCGCTAATGTAAAAGATACTTAGAATACTCGGGGCCTATAATTTCTTCCCCGGAATTCACATAGAGGTTATGATCTCAAGGAATTCTCTACGAGGTAATGGTCATCTTCCCGAGGCAAGGGAGTTAACTATAAAAGTCCAATTTCCACCCTTGCCGAACAAGGCTGGAATTTCCAGATTCGATCGTAGCGCCACCACTATGTCCCTCCTATTGAATAATCAGATTCCACCTCTCATATCACTTGCATATGCTTCAAAGAAAATGGTGGCGCCGTCAAGACGATCTGATCGATGATCAAGATATATATTGTAATAAAAGGGGTCTAACATCGCGAAGTGCATCAGATCACGTGAGCACCTTGATAAAAACCATGAAAAGATTTATCTGTCGACGCACAATTGACGGTACACATTCTTTGCAAATCCTGCAATCGACGGAAATCTGAAAGTTGAAATCCACGTTGTTACAAACGGGATGTCGATTTCGTCACGCGATTTTGGTCGGACTAGGCATATACTCGTTAGTTCAGCCAAAATATAACTCCATAATTGCAGCCCATTTCGGCAAGGTTGGAAACTGAACAGTCAGTTAACTCCCTTGCCTCATGAAGATGGGTAATGTTTTTTCAAAGAGAACGCTAAATTTCCAGCGTTCGATCTGATACATTTACTTTCAGAAACAGGCTCAGGTACTTCCAAGGGTAACACGGGCCGAGCTCCACCACAGCGCGTGACACTGTGTCACTGTAAGGATCTTAATTGACGTAAGAAATGGTGTTTCAAGTTTCGTAATACTTATATATGTATTTACTCATTTAGGGTTTCCCATAGGACGTTTGTTAAAACCTATATCGGATGCAACTGAATAAAAAAAACAGGTAAGACAATACTTATTTCTAAATGGATCTGTGCAGACAAAGTTAGAGCACCAGTGACGTCATAACTGCACCCTGAGGCATTCTGGGAGAAGGGTAACGCGGCCATAAGGTTGAATATAAGCTGCTGTTATGGTTTCAATGAACACGGTTATAACGGCGACAAGGGGAAGCACTATCTGACATCTGGCTAATGGGGTTGTGGTTAATTCAACATCCATGAAACGAGATTTAGATGTCATTCTTTCCAACAAAATACGATTTAAGAAAATGTATCAATCAGCTGAGGTGACTATATTGCATTGTTTTCCCATGACGCCCATGTAATTGGTTTGTGCGAGTCACGGAGACGGGCAGCTGTATAAATGAGGGTAGTCGACTTGGGAGAGAATGCCTTGCGGCTGTACTATACTCTAATTGCTTGATGAATGAGAAAACGTTCACAAGAAACCGAATTATTAGAGTTGATTATAATACGGATTATGACCATCTATTTATTACATATATTTCCATACGGACTAGTTCTGTAAGCACAAGCAAATTCTTAGGCCACAATAAATTAATTATTGGAATTTATTTTATTTTATTTTATTATTTTATTTTATTTTATTTTATTTTATTTTATTTTATTTTATTTTATTTTATTTTATTTTATTTTATTTTAATAGATGAATGTTTGTAAACATGGAGACTGATGAAAAAGCAACACATTTCTGAACATGTTGTTTGCATGTTACGTTTGGCGCCTATGACGTGTCCCTTGCAACAATACAAATACCGCTTACAGCATTATCAGCAATTTGATTGTCTCGGTTGTCTCCCCTTGACTGTTAAATACATGGACACTAAACCAGATGCCGTGGCATTGCTGTTTAAATTAAAATAAACTAATTTATTT